ATTGAAAATAGGTGTTCTAGGAGATGAAACTGACTGCAGGGTACTAACAGAAGGTCCTCTATCATTATTCACAACTCCAATCCCTTCCTGTGATGAAGACAAAACCGAACCAGTACTATCCCTTAGATATGGGTTATTGGCAATCAAATTTTGTTTAGGGCCAGCTTTCAACCATAAACCCCAGCCCCTAGGGATATCTGCATTTTGCACTTCAAACAGTTGCTCACAGTATGTCTCAATATGCCCTAAACACCCGCATAAAAAGCAAAAATTCGGCATCCTTTCATATTTGAACTTAACCAGCACAGATGGGTCTCCCAGTTACTTGATTTTCTTCCATCTTTTCAAAGGAAGATGCACATCAATCTTGACTCGGATACGTAAAACCTTTTCTAGCTGCCTGAAATAGAGGTCAGACATAAGCCAGGAATTCACCAATGAAATTACCCAATTGCACTGCAACCGATTCGTGAATAAAAGCCATTCGGCAAATCATGCACCTGAATCCAGAATGCTGCACAATTTAAGTCAACGTCTAATGCTTCTCTAGGTTGGAGGTGGTGTAAAACCAACAAATTGTTATTAAAAGAATAAGGCCCTCCATCCATCACCCGCTTCAGATCAATGATGTGGAAAAAACGAAACAGGTAGCGCTATGATTCTTCCCCCTTGATATAGACTCCTCTTCCTGGCCTCTAGACAGTGGACATAGTCGAATGCATTGCACCAAATTTTGAATCTTATCCAATAAAAATCTGCCTACCAAACAAAGATCGTAAGAGACAGAAGCAGAGTGATCTTGGTTGTGTTGTACCGTGAGTTCGTCTTCTTCTATGTCCGTCATCGCCAACAGTTCAAGAGTTTGTTCCATGGCGAAATAAAGAAGCAAGACGCAAAAAGGAAAGCGAAGAGGTACGAAGTGGAAAGGGTTCGAGAAAGGAAGATGATCTCGGTGAGGTTAAAAAGGAAAGATCAAGGGTTCTGGAAAAAAACGATAGGGTCTATACAAAAGAGGCTAGGGTTTAGACTTGCACTAGGCAAAAGAGAACTTGCATAAAGCAAGAGATTTTAGGTTATGATATTTAACAAAGATAGTTAAAAATTTAATTAATGAAGTTAAATTTTTTTATTTTATATTTATAACTTACTTATAAATAATCGTTTGTGTATTTAAGCTTTTGATAATTTATATTTACTTAGTTCAACATGTTTTTCAAGAAATTGCCTACATAGTTTTCGTTTTTCAACCCTTGGTCTCTTTCTATTATATTTTGTTGTTTGAACGTGGAAAAAATCAAAGTTAGCGGGCAACTTTTTGCTTCGACACGAGGAAACAGAACGCTAAAGAATAAAACAGATTTCCAGTATGAAAACTGAAATTTTCATTTCATAATTGAGAAATAGATTTTTATTACAACAACTATGTCTTCCTAGATCAAGTCACCAGTCCTTGCGGACTTGTTTGGCGACTCTTTTATATCATACCGCCCTTTGAAATTTTCAAAACAAATTTGTTTCAGAAAAAGAAAAGAAAGAACAAGTTTGAAAGATTGAACCCTGAACTATGTAAGGATGACGTCGAAGTCACTTAGGATCCATTCTGCCATTTCTTCTTGGTCGCTAACAAAAATTTCAGTACCCATATCAATGGATGTCCAAATTCTTCTAGCAGGAGGGGCACCTGGATCCTGCAAATCAAGAACAACATCAACAATCAACAACCCATTACATGTATTTGCAATATATCTTCTTCAAGATGATTGGTCAATTAATTCACTAACCTGATAGAAGTACAATCTACCAGAAAGTCCACCCACATCAAGCTCCCAAGTTCTTGCATCGCCTACCCAACCATCGCCTTGTTTTGTTGGATAGCCATATTCGGCCCATATTTGATGAGGCAGCAACTGAAGTAGCTCTTGTGCCTGAGGATTGCTATAAGGACCACAAGTGCTGGCAGGTTTCTCCAAAAATTTTGCATTCCCTAGAGCACAATAGTAGTGATAAGCACCATATGGGAAGTTGGTTGTATCATTCCTGAAAATTTTTGTGTTGTTTGGAGTAATGTGGTATGGTGGGCAATTCTCTGGATGATCATGACTGCACCAAGCAGCAGTGGTAGGATTAATCCAAAAAATTACCACTGATTAGGATCTTCGTATTGGTGGGCAATTCTCCTACCAATTCTTGTATTAGGATCTTCTTACATAATCCAAAAGATTAAGAAACTATTTATAGGATACAAAATATGATCCAAAAGATATAATTTTATACAGTAAAAGATATAATCATTCAATTTAAAAGACACGGCTTTACAAACTAAAAGAAATAACTATTCATCCTAAAGGACATAAACTTTTATTTCAAATGACATAATTTTTGGAGAAATAAAATAATTTCTTTAATAAATTTAATGGAAATCCATTATATTATATAGTTTTATAACAATATTTTTAAATTATTCTAATTCGATTTAAATTTAATGGTTGATAAATTAAATCTCTTTCTTTCTTTTTTTAGAAAGGGGTGTATATGTCGCTTCACGAAATATTAATCTTCAACAATAAAATACAATAAAAATCTCCAATTACTTTTTAACTTTCATTTTTTTTTATTTTTTATATGTCATTTTAGTAAACAGCTAAATATTTTGTTTAATTAAAAATCTAATTTTTAAGACTACAATATTGAAAAAACATTTTTGTCATTTTTTTTATCCATGGGAGGCGTAAAACGTAATATGCCAAAATAGCCAAAATAACGAAGCATGAAGACCAATCAGACAATATCATTTTTATCATTTAATATATAAAATTAACAATGTTTTATAACTTCATAAAGAGAAAAAATGTTTTTTTTATTTCCTACATTAATTATTTTGGCAAGATTTAAAATAATGTTTAAATAAAAATTGAAATGATTAAGACAACCTTAACTATAAAGCATAATAATTTTGGGTCCATCTAATTTCTCATTTTCAATTTTTATAGTCCATTTAGTCTGCTTCACGTAGCCACTTTTTCATATCAACAGACCAATCTCAAAATCATGTACAAGACGTGTGTTCAACAACTCACAAACCTTTAATTTTTATATATTTACTTGTTTTTATAATAGGATCAAATTTTAAAACTGCATGTGCAATTATTCTTGTATTTGCATATATTAAAGAAATAAAAATTTATTATAATTTTTACCTTTATTTGAATAATATAAAATTTTATTATGATCATAAATTATTTTAATATTTACTTTAATATATAAATAAAATAAATATTTTAATTTATTTATCATATACAATTAATTGAATTTATTTTTAGGTCTAAAATAACTAATTTGATTTGAAATAACTAAATTTAAATTGCACCCAATTCGATTTGAATTTCTTTTTATACTATTTGATTTTAGATTTGAATACCATAAAAATATGTTGAGATGGATCAAAACTAAACTAATTTGATTTGGTTCGATTTAGTTAACTGAATGTTAACTCCTACTTAATACACTGAAACTAGCTTGAATTCGACTTTTTATATTAAACTAGCTTGATAGGAAAACTTAAAATCAACTTATTAAATTTATACCAATTTGAATGTTTTGTTTTTTAAAAATTGAATCAACTTAAAATCAATTTTTGCTACGAAATTGGTTCGGTTTGATTTGAACTGACTCGACGGTATGCACATTCCTACCAAAACATAGTAAATAGTAAAAGTGGAAAGTCAATTAAGTGCAAAACAAAATGATTACAAAGAAAAATTAGTTATAAAGAGGGAAAAATGATAGCGACAACTATGATGGAGAATTACTAACTTGTAAAGAGGGGGGAATCATGTATTATGGAGAACAGCTAGCTAATGGTGGAGCCCTCTCGCAAAATTTAAAAATTCAAATCACCGACAAGCGACAGCTCCCATAAGGACTTATCTAGAACGTGAGAAGTAAACGACATGCACTGGAAAACGACCACGTGTACACGCATTCCGCTTGGAAACACCCAAATCTAAATATCATTTTTTATTAAAATAAAATAACTTTTACTAATTTCTCAGCCCACAGATTTATGCCATTTGGTAATCCTGCAGAAGTTGATTACTAGTATTCAACCAATAGATTTTTTTTATATTAAAAAAATTTAACTGGAATCAATTACCATCAATTCTATTCCCAAAACGTGTTGTTGATTTATTCAAAGATAATAAAAATTTACATTATTATTTCTATTATATATGTTTTTATATGCATAATATAAAAAATATTAATTACTATATACCATGCAATTTTATATATAATATAAAGAATTTATCTATAATATAATGAAATGTATTCAAACAAAAAAAAAAATTAAATGTAGTAAACTTGAGAATAAAGGGTTATTAAATTGAATTCAACTACAATTTAAATTCAAATACTAGAATGTGAAAAAACAAAATAATCGATATGTGATAGACTATATTTAATAACACTCCGACAATCAATACGCATCTTACGTGTTCAACAATAAATACCAGGGTTAACTATTCGATACTTAATATTTGTGTCTCTCGCTCGCATCAACCTACACAATAATTTTAAACTATTAATATGTGATATTGTTTTCAAAGATATTTATAAAGTTATTTTAAAAAGAATTATTAATAAAACAAAAAATATGTCTCAATGTATAAATATAAATAGTTAGTTCACTGAATGAATGATCTTAGATCGATGATATAAAAAAGTGGAATTGAAATTGACCCTCTAGATAGAAAATAAGAATTAAAAAGAATCAGTTTGACATGTTGTGATTATATTTAGAATAAAAAATTTTAGATTGATTTCCATTTAGTGTCCTTCTAAACTAAATAGGTGGCTGAACTAATCAAAATACAAAAATTTGAAAAATAAGTGTGTAGATCATGCAAAAAATTAAAAATATTAGAGGTTTTAGTAATTTAGCTATTTTCTTTTCTACCAATAGTTTTATTGATTGATTCCATCAATTCCGCTATAGAGGTGGCTTCTTAGGAAGGCTGCTCCTTGGTTGATGATGTCTTTTGACTGTAATATTTCTTACAGAGGAAAATCCACGTTGCTGTGTCTCCGTCTGTAATCAAAAAGAGCACATGTAATAGTTCTTTATGCCTACACCTAACGCTACGCTTATAAATATTTTGGCATCTGTTCCCTACGCTTATCCAATTACAATACAAGCGTCATTGTCTTCTTTTTTTTTTTTTTTTTAATCTTAATTGAGTGTTTAACGAAGATTAGTCTTGTGTTGTGTTTTCTCGAAGAAACGGAAAGCATCTCTATATAAAGCTTTAAACTTTGTGACCTGATAGGCCTCTCTTACTTGCTATTCCTGCAAAAAGCAACAATGGGTTATTCAGGATCAGTCCAATGGTTTTCTTATCTTCTTGTTTTTATGCTTTTATTGCTCAAAACCGAAGGAGGTAGCATTCCTATTACTATTGTTGAAACTGCAAAAACTAGAGGAGCTGGTGAGACAACTTAATTAGTTTCTTAGTCTATCTCTGTTTTTTTCTTTTCTTTCCTCATCTTGCAAAGCAATTTTATTTACTTTTTCTTATATTTGTTAATTTTTCTCTAAAAAGTTCTTCTCTTTTTGCAGTTTGTTTGGATGGAAGTCCACCAGCTTACCACTTTGACAAGGGATATGGCTCTGGGGCTAACAATTGGATTGTTCACATGGAGGTATTAATTAATTAATCAATTTATGTTCTAATATGCCTTGCTTAATTAATTGGTGTTTGAGCTAAACTAGCTGTTTAACCTGTAACTTTCTGATTTCTTTGAGTTCATTATAGATCCATAATGTATGAAATTTGCTTCTTGTTTTCTATGGGTGTATGGTTAGGGAGGAGGATGGTGTGATGATATTGAGAGCTGCCTTGAAAGAAGGGACACATACAAAGGTTCATCTTTGAAAATGGAGAAAACTATGGGTTTCTCTGGCATACTAGGGAGCAAGCAAGCTGCTAATCCTGGTACAGATTCATCATTCATCTACTCAATCGAAAATTCATTTACTGCTGTTATGCATACATTTTTTTTTTTAGCTTAATTTTCATTTTGATTGAATATGCAGATTTTTACAACTGGAATAGGATTAAGATTAAGTACTGTGATGGGTCTTCATTTACCGGTGATGTTGAAGCAGTTGATCCGGTAAGATAACTGAAATGTCCTTTTTTCTTTAAGGGAAATATTTTAATTTTTCTTGGATTTTAGTTGTTTTTTCCTAATTAAAAGCTTTGAACTTTCTGTTTACTTGTGTTAATTCTTTTCTTGTTCAGAAAACTAAACTTTACTTCAGAGGAGAAAGAATTTGGCGGGCTGTTATCGATGATTTATTGGCCAAAGGGATGAGAAATGCTCAAAATGTAAATTCTTTCTTCAAGAACAAATTTTCCTTTCTTACTTATTATTCTTTTTTAGTTTTCTAATTTGCTGAGAACCTTTTTGGACTTGTAATTTCAGGCTATTCTTTCTGGCTGCTCAGCTGGTGGATTGGCTTCTATTTTGCATTGTGACAAATTTAGATCTCTCCTGCCTGCAAGTGCCAAAGTAAAATGTGTCTCTGATGCTGGTTATTTCATTCATGGGTATGTACTGTAAACTCACAATTAGGCCTGCCTGTATTTATTAATTGAGCATTTATATGGTTATTCATGTTATTTAGTGTTCTTTTGCAGGAAGGATATTGCCGGAGGATATGAAATTGAGAACTTTTATGGTCGAGTAGTTAGATTACATGTACTTTCTTTTCTCTCTTTGATGATTCTTCTTATTGACTATGATTTAAAAGCTCATACTTGGAGAATTTTTATACTCTTCTTATTCAGAAAGTTACATTTTGATTCCAACTACCAATATTTTGTTTCCAACTACCAATATTTTTTTTCAGGGATCAGCAAAGAATCTTCCTACATCTTGCACTTCTAGGATGAGGCCAGAGTTGGTACGTTTTTTTTTTTTTCAAACATTATCGCATTGTATCAATTCTTCTTGTTTCTAAAAATTACTTCAATGGTGCTATTGCAGTGCTTCTTCCCACAAAATGTAGCACAAACTATGCAAACACCACTTTTTGTCATAAATTCAGCTTACGATTCATGGCAGGTTAGCGAATTCGAGCTTCTAGTGAAATTGTTTGCTTATTGTGCAAATAAAGAAATTAGAACTAAATGCATTTCATTCTTCGAAACTGATGTTTTTTCTCGCAAATTTATCGTATCGATTCAGATTAAGAATATTTTGGCACCTAGCGCTGTTGATAAAAAGGGAAGCTTCAAGAGCTGCAAAACTGACTTAAAGAAATGCTCAGCAAGTCAACTACAAACCGTGCAAGGTAACTCTACTAGACCCTGGTTTGATCATTTTTGGTAGAAAATGATTTTAGGAGATAAGATTAGTCATTTTCTATGTAATAAACACAAACCAAATTGAAAAATTTAATAGCAGTCTCTTAAAATCGAGATGAAAATTGTGAGGTCGTTGTTATTTTCAGATTTCAGGCTGCAGTTCATAAATGCATTGAATAGTGGAGTTGCGAACAAACCAGCAAATGGAATGTTCATAAACTCTTGCCATGCACATTGCCAATCAGGGTCAGTGTCTACGTGGTTCGACGCCAAGTCCCCAGTACTGAGTAACACGGTAATCAAAAGACTATATGGTTTCTTATTGTTTGGTTTTCAGGAAGTAAAGAACGTTGTCATAATAATTTCCTTTTTTTTGTCTGAAAATATATCATGCAGAAAATTGGAAAGGCAGTTGGAGACTGGTTTTACGACCGTGCCTCCTTCAAAAAGATCGATTGCGCTTATCCTTGCAACCCAACTTGTGTGAAAATCGATTCTGATTCTTGATTCTTTATCTAGTCCTGAAAAGCAAATAAAAAGAAATGCAGGGACCTGAGCTTTATCTCTCATTATTTATGAAAATGTAATGAAGGAAATTGATTATATTGGTATCTAATTTTAATAAAAGAACAGTGTGTTGTTTGTTTTGTTTTGTTGTGTGTTAATAGTTTAGGAGTTGGGATTCCAATGGGCTATTTATTATGTAGTATCCTTACCATTTGTCTACTCATGAAACAAGGAGATAAACAGTTACAGATTATGGACAATATAATTACAAAAGTGACATAAAAGTGCCTCCATAGATAGTGGAGATTGAAGGTTACCAAAACTGAATTTCTGTTAATAGTATCCGCGAGTATCCATAATTAAACTCATTTAATACAGTGATTAACGCGTAACAGATATTCTGATACTTATATCTAAATAATATAATATGAACACATGATATGATAATTTTTATAAAGTAAAATATCGATACACATATCATATGCTAAATTCAAATAAATGATTAAACAATTATGTTTCTTTATCCTCTTATAGTAGGTAAGTGTTGTCACAAGCAGGTTCTCGTATGAGAACAAGTTATTTCACCATATGTTTTTCACCTATATATATATAATCTTAAAATAAAAAAACATTTTAAAAATGCTAATGTTGTGCTCTACTTTCTTGGTATTCTATTTTTCCTATTTTTAGAAATTTTTTGCTTTTTCTTTTTTTTTTTTCTTAAATATTTTCTGAAATTGCTACCGAATTAATCATTTGTTAAAAGATTTATGCAAAGATAAACAGGAGAAGGGCATGTACCATGTTCTTATTGTATTGGATGATATGAAGAATTAGATGCCAACATACTATATAATTATTGTATATAAGAAATGATATAATTTTGTTTTATGATAATATTTTAATTTAATACGTTTTGTGGTCTAAGTTTTCAAAATATTTCATTATATAAAATTAATTATACCTATTACTTATCCAAATCTAAATTAAATGAATTAATTTGAACTCTCGTATGAAGGCCATAACATCCATGGAACAAAATAATTTAATAAATTTTTAAATAATGTTATAATTTTAAATCTCTATCAAATTTTCTAGAATCATTTGCAGTTTAAATCAAATACATTATCTATAAAATTTATCAGTTGTGAGTTTAACTTGTATTTATATGAGTTTAACCTAATTATATATAAAAAAAACTTTATTTATCTAGTTGAATGCCTAATAATTTCAAATTTTAATATTGTTATTTTTATTATTAGAAATCAATCACAAGCGATATATAATTTTATTTTAAAAAATTAATATTTATTTAAAATAATTATCTATCTATATCTTAATTTTGAATTTTCTACTTTATCCTTTTATTTTATGATTGGATTAATTAAGATACTTTTTCTTTTCTGAAAGAGTTTGATAGGGAAAAGTGAAATTCAATATTCATATCAATATATATATATATATATCAATTTAAATTTTGTAGACTATGAAATCATGTATACTAAATAACTTATAAATTATAAATAAATTAAAAATTACAATATATAGTAAAAAAATAACCTGTACAATGCGCGGGCCTTCACATAATTTATATTAAAACTGAACTATTCAAATTCTAATCTAACGGTAAACTAATTCGTTTTCATATGAGATCCTGCTGATAACAACAGTACCCCTCATTGCATTCGATAGATGTTTAATCCCCACAATAATTATTGTTTGGTTGAATATATAAATTCACCTCTAAACTTTTCAATTTTAATCTTGTGGCACCCTAAACTTTGCGGATGACCTATTATGCACTTGAACTTATAAATTTTACTAATGTTACACACATTTTGACACTAATATTAATAATTTTTAGGACTTTTGGTTTTTATCTACAAAATATCGATTTGATATATGTTAGCATGACTTTTAGAGCAATAATTTTCATAAATTTTAACTTTTTAATAGGTGTTTAATTAATCTAATTTTGCAAATTGAAATGTTCAATAAAATAAATTTGAAAATTAAAGTGGTTAATAAGTGTAATTTTATAAGTTTAAGTGTTTTATAGGTCAAAGTAAAAGTTGAGGGTGCCACAAGGTCAAAGTAACAAAGTTCGGAGGTGAATAGAAAAATTTTCTGAATCGTTTATTTGAATAGAAAAATCAAACTATTATTTAGATTAATAATTATTGAAAATAAATTTTTTTAATTAAAATCATCAATTGTGTAAAACTTTAGAAAAACTTTTCTGAGAAAAATTTTCTGAATCGTTTATTTGAATAGAAAAATCAAACTATTATTTAGATTAATAATTATTGAAAATAAATTTTTTTAATTAAAATCATCAATTGTGTAAAACTTCTTGTATAAAATAAGAAATTTTCCAACTGGATTGAGCCTAAAAAAAATTCTCCAAGAAAAAATTGGAGCCCAGCAAAAATGCTGGAGGGACTGGGCTGTAGATGGGCCCATCATGGGGTCAAGTGGCGTGCAAACTGAAAAAGATCAATCCATAATCAATCACGTGATTCATACAATCCTCCTTCCTCGCTTCACCTGATCGGATCTTCAGCTTCACATTTTCTCTCAAAAACCTGATACGAACATAGCTCTACTTCAATCGGAGTTAAGCATTAACTCTTATTTTCTTATCCCCGTTACCAAACACCCAAGTTAAGCATTAACTCTTATTTTCTTATCCCCGTTACCAAACACCCAATCGGAACAATGTCTTCGGTTTTCGGCGGCGATGAGACTGCTCCCTTCTTCGGCTTCCTCGGAGCCGCGGCTGCTCTCGTCTTCTCTTGTACATAATCTCTCCACTTCCGCTTTTCATTTTTTGTTATATTTTGCCTTTTTCTTGAATTTTTCTCAAAAAAAATTTTGAATTAACAAGATCAGCCTAATTGCGATATCTGATGATAATTAATGGATATATTGATATTTGGGATTACAGGCATGGGTGCAGCTTATGGGACAGCAAAGAGCGGGGTGGGCGTGGCTTCCATGGGCGTGATGCGGCCTGAGCTTGTGATGAAGTCTATAGTTCCAGTAGTCATGGCTGGAGTTTTGGGAATTTATGGGTTAATTATAGCTGTTATTATTAGTACCGGTATTAATCCAAAAGCAAAATCTTATTATCTTTTTGATGGGTATGCTCACTTGTCCTCTGGTCTTGCTTGTGGCCTTGCCGGGTTGTCTGTATATATATATCAATTTAAATTTTATAGACTATGAAATCTTGTCCTCTGGTCTTGCTTGTGGCCTTGCCGGGTTGTCTGTATATATATATCAATTTAAATTTTATAGACTATGAAATCATGTATATTAAATAACTTATAAATTATAAATAAATTAAAAATTACTATATATAGTAAAAAAATAACCTGCGCGGCCTTCACATAATTTATATTAAAACTGAACTATTCAAATTCTAATTTAATGGTAAACTAAACTTTTCGATTTTAATCCTGTGGTACCTTGAAACTTTGCGGATGACCTATTATGCACTTGGACTTATAAATTTTGCTAATATTACACACCTTTTGACCCTAATATTAATAATTTTTAGGACTTTTGGCTTTTATCTATAAAATATCGATTTGATATATGTTAGCATGACTTTTAGAGCAATAATTTTCATAAATTTTAACTTTTTAATATGTGTTTAATTAATCTAATTTTGCAAATTGAAGTGTTCAATAAAATAAATTTAAAAATTAAAATGTTTAATAAGTGTAATTTTATAAGTTTAAGTTTTTATAGGTCAAAGTAAAAGTTGAGGGTGCCACAAGGTCAAAGTAACAAAGTTCGAAGGTGAAGTTATGTATTAACCGTTATTGTTTATTTCCCTTACTTTCAGATAATGAAATTAGGTTTCCTTTGCTTTCGGAAATTAATAATTTATGTTTTGAAGATATTTTTAAGAAAATATTTCTTAAATAATTCATTTTCTAATGCTTGGTTGTAATGTGGAAAATTAATAAAAAATATTAATATCTACCGATAATTAGTGGATTAATAAATGTATGTTCACAAGATTATAATATCTCAATAAACATGTGAATATTTAGAAAATATTTGCTTTTTGAATAATGAAAAATTATTTTCCTTTAAAATGATTTAGTTTAAAATGATTTAGTTGTCATTGATAGTAAATTGTTTGATATATATATATATAATTGAAGCATGTATCATGATGTTGCATAAAGAAACATGTAGTGGTTTTTATCATGATATTCAATTAATTACAATATTACTAACTATTAATTAACTAAATAATTTTAAATTTTCTAGAAGTTAAAATAACTAGCAATGTTTAATAAATAATAGTTGTTGATTGTGAATTACTTAAAAAGACCTTTTTTGTCAAAAAATTTAGGATTATTTTAAGATTTTTGAAGTTAAATAATTAATTCTATTCAATTAATGATAGTTGTTGATTGTGATTAATTGAAATGTTTTTTAATTTTTTGAATTAAATAATTAATTATAATTCATCAAATTAAGGAATTCTTTATTTCACTCTAATTGATTTTTGATAATATATATTGCAATTTTTTTGAAGATAAAATAATATATATTGCAATTAAATTAAAGTTTGATGGAAATGGAATTGATATTACGCCAGAGTTATAATTAGTGGTCGAAATAATGAACAGTTTAGGGCAGGAGAAAAAAATCAATGAGAGAGAGATGGTTAAAAGCTTATTAGACAGAGTTGATAAGACTACTTTTTATGTTTTAACAAGACGAAGGCCTATACTTTGCGCGAATTGTTTTGATAATTTATAATTTATAAACATAAAAAAAAGATAATCAAAAATTCATTTTTTCTATGAATTATTTTATTTTTGTATTTTTTAAATCGTGTTTAATATATTATTAAAAAATATATTTTTCCTACAGGTTTCTTTATTAGATTAGTGTGTTATAAAAATTATAATGTAATTAATTTATTTTAAATAATTAAAATTTCAATTAATCATATCTAGATTTCAGTTAAAGTTTATAATTCAGACAATTTAAACATTATTTCTTATAAAGTTTTATGATTCAAATAATTTAATATAGACAAATATTATTTTTAATTTAATTACTTAATTCAATATGGATAATATATAGATAAATATTCCTCTTGAAACAAAATATATAGATAAACATTATTTTCAATTTAATTACTTAAATTAAAAAATTATCTAGGTTTCAGTCAAAGTTTAAAATTCAAACAATTCAAACGTATCTTATGATAGATAATTTTATATAGATAAAATTTTACGATTCAGATAATTCAGTGCGTCTAATATATAGATAAATATTTTTTTTAATGTAATTACTTAACAGTAAAATATTATTTAATTATTATTATTAGAAAAATATGATCTTCTTAATTATTATTATTAGAAACAAAAATATGATCTTTCAAAAATATTATATAATATATATATAACTATATATATATATATATATATATATATATATATTAGATAGATAGATAGATAAGAAACCGGCATATAATAATAATTAGCTTATTTTTTATTATATAATATTTACTTTATGAATAAATATATATATATATAGATAGATAGATAGATAAAGAAACCGGCATATAATAATAATTAGCTTATTTTTATTATTATATAATATTTACTTATTGAAATAAACATCAATATTACAGTAAATATTCAAAGTATCTCTTTTTTTTTTTTTACAAAAAAAAAAGAAGTTAGTTTATTCTTACCTCTTAATATACAATAAGGTTATAGAATGAAGAAAATAAAAAAAAAAATTCAAATATAATACAGAGATAAAGCGAATATAATAATTATCCATAAATAAATTAAAGAAAAACAACAAAAATACAATGGTAAAATTAACTAATTCACGGATTGCTTATTTGGTTATGAGCATGAGCAAGTGATGCTGATGATAGACAATTACCATGAACATCATCATAATTCATAAACAATCACATGCTCATGAGCACGAAGATTGCATAATCTACCAACTGTATAAGTTTTTCCAGTGTCTATTTGACCGTAAGCTATAACTGTCCCATTACATCCACTCAATACACTCTGCAAAATTCACAACGCATCGTTAACTTGCCGTCTAAAGATAACGATATCTTTGTGTTAAACATCAGCTCTGATACCACTTGTTAATTACGGTAGCGTAAAAGTAAAATTGTGACACATAAAAATTTACGTGGTTTATCCTCAACTGTTTAGAGCAACGTCCACGGGACAAACTCTGAATTATTCTTTCACTATTTTTCTCTCCCCTCGTTTTAGGAAAACCTTCCTAAAACTAGATATTTCTTTCTACATTTTGTTTTCTCTCGTTTCTGATGTGCTGTGTGTTGTGTAGAGGTGCATTTGCCTCTATTTATAAGCGAGGATACGAGAGAGGTAATGTGAGAGCCGTGTGTTACACACGGCTCTCCATTTATGTCATGATTGGTTGCCAACTTTGATTCATTCTAAAAAAACGTGTGTTTTATTTTTTCAAATATATGTGGGTCCCACATGTTGAGGGGGTTGTGGGTCCCACATGTTGGAGGGACCCCACAACACTTTGGTCTATCCTTCCCAGTCACATACCTCAACAACAGGCTTTGCCATTGCATCATAAACTCTCTTTTGAGAAGCAGATCCCTTCTTACTCATCTTCCTAATATAACATGGTCGAGATTCTATATGAAAAGACAGACTTACATGCGAAGAAATGAGAAATTCAATGGAAGGAAAACACCCAATGCAATAATCAAAATCAAACAATTAGAAAAGCATGGAAAATATAAAGATGGCATAACTTCAAGAAGCCATGGTGTCAAACAACAGAGTGCAAAGAAAGTTTGAATAAATCGTTGGGAAATAAGCAATCTGCTTCGCTCTTAGCCGCTAAATACTTGTAAAGATCTAAATGTTACTGTAAGTACAATGGCAGATGTGGTATTGACGCCAAAGTAACTGGCCATGAGGGCGAATAGTGTAGGGAGACCATCGAAATTCCAATGATGATGTCACGGACAGTTTATGCTGGCTCTGCTTCTCAAGTTCTAGGCTTCCTTCGGTTACATCGGCCCTTTTGTATCAATTTAACAAAACAACCATCCAAAATGCTTGTGCACTTAATCTATCACATGGTAATTTCAATTTCTAATAAATACCTAACAGAGAAAAAAGCTTAGTATAAAAAGATTTGTAAAAAACAAAAACAAAAACAAAAAAAAGGATAAGGTTGTCCATTTAAAGATAATCTTTTAAATTTAAAATTCAATAGATTGTATTATTGTAGATAATTTGTAAAAATTATTTTATAATTATTTAACATTAAAACCAATCAAATAAAATAAAATAAAATTTAAAGGAAATTCAAAATTTTATAAAAAAAGATAAATAAGAATGGTCAATGGAGAGAGCTTCTTGAACTTATTTTTTGCTTCAGGATCATATATATATATATATTAGATGAAGGTCCACACATTGCACGGATATTATTTTACAATCCAATTCAAAGTTAAAATAAAGACGTACAAACTAAATTTATCACTACACAAAACTAAAATTAATTGATCACATTGATAAATGAGTATTTCAATTAGTGATAATTCAAAATTCAAAATTATATAATCGAATAAAACTATATGTACAAACTTGGTTGGAATCATTTTCATGAGTCAAATATCACCATTCTTCACGATTTCATCATACCTAACCTTGAAGTATTTGGATGTTATAGCAACTATATGCAAATATGAAAAAAAAAAGTCAATGAACAATTGAATACGTGTAATGATCCAGTAAAATGAAAGAAATAACAAAAAAAATAGGAAGAAACTATTGTGAAAGAAAAAAAAAAAATATAGAGAATTGAGACTCAACCGAGGAGAATATATATAGTTAGATAGTTTTAGATAAATAAGATTAAATTTGAAACTATTAATTAATATAAAAAAAATATTAACTTTCAAATTTAAAAAATATTTTAATTTTTAATTTAAAAAATATTTTAGTGGCCAATCAAATTATAAAAATGATAGTAAAAAAAGAAAATTAGTTTTAAATAGATAAGATTAAATTTAAAAAGTATTATCTAATATCATAAAATCTTAATTTTTCAATTTAAAAAAAAAAATACTTGAATGGCCAATCAAATTGTAAAAATGATAATAAAAAGAAAAAAATTTTAAAAATTTGTAAAAAAAAAAAAAAATAGAAAGGCTCAAAGAATAAAGTGCCACATTAGCATTTTTGAAATATTTTTTACTTGAATTAAAAAAAAAAAAAAAATAGAAAGGCTCAAAGAATAAAGTGCCACATTAGCATTTTTGAAATATTTTTTACTTGAATTATATATATATTAGATAAAAGCCGGCACTCTGCATGGGTTGCTTTTATAACTTATAATTAAAAATTATATTTAATACATATTAAAAATTATATTTTCTCGTGAATTTAATTATATTCTACTCATTTATTTATTTATTTCATTAGAATAAATTCAAAATTTATGACAATAAAAGTTAAAAGGTAGTATTAATTTTTTTTTTAATTCATTGGAGGGCTTTATGGACCATAACAACACAGCCACGTCAGTATTTATAAAATATGTTTTGCTTTAGGATTAATATATATATATAATATATATATAGTATATATATTATATAATTAATTATATATAGTTATAATAGATATATATATAGTTATATAGATATAGACACTTCAAAAGCACTCTCCTGAGTCTTCCATCCAACATTCAACGAAGAAGTTAACAGATAGCTTTTAACATAACATCAATTGAAGTTTTGACATTTTTGCTTAAAAAATCAAATTTTAGGCACACCAATGTATTAGGGTGCATAATTCAATTATGACGGGTGAAATTTACGCATTTAATTTATTTTACAATTAAGAAAAGGAAAAGAAATTATTAAGAGACCTATAAACATAGAATCCTAATCATAGGTTCTTAGTTCCTATAAAATTGCTCTAAGAAGAATCTCTTCTGCCCGCGAGCAAGTTGGAATGCTAAATTATTTTTCAAAATTTCGACAGAGTCTCCTTTAAAAATTAGATTAAATTTAAATCTGCAAATAAATAAAGTTAAATATTAGTATCTCAGTATCTAAATCCAACTCAATTTGTTCCCATCCACCGTCAACCCACAAGCTTCAATATCCAACTATTTTCATGCTTCACAATTTCATTAAATTTACGAATCAACAAAAAAATATTTGTTTATCCAATTCTCGTTTGAATTTTTCAAAATTTTATATTTTGATTGTCTGAATGAAAAACAATGTCTGAGTGTGTAAATTTTGTAAAGAAGGTATTTAGGTGCTTCTTTATGTGTGGAAGGCCGGAATGCTGACTTTAACGAAGTGGGCTCCAATTTTATCCTGCTGGCAGCCAATATAGACTGAGAGAAGACCACGTCGGCAAAACACTTTGCTTCCATATGGATTTGATTCGTTCATGGAAAGAACTTAAAAGCTTTAAAAATAGTATAATGAAAAAGCTTGTAACAAAAAGAAGCTTATAACGAAAGAACTTCAATTGTTGGTTATTAGGAAACAATAAATGAAGGTTAAAAAAAGATAATTCCTATCAAAGTTCACGTGAGTTGCATCTGATTTAGTTGATTTGAAGCTCTTTTATGTCATGTCATCTGCCACGTGTCAAAAAATAATTTCACAATTATACCGTCAAATTTTGAAACTTTTTGATAGCATTCTCTGTTTAGAATTATAGTTGGAAATGTATTTAGAATACCAGTTAAATTGGTAACATTAATGAATATAATATTGGCATTATAAATTATATAAAAGATGAAGGCATGTTTGGCATATGCTTTTGAGCTAGCTTTAGCGTTAAAAACTCTAACATTTAGTTTTTCACATAGATTAATTAAATTTTTCTGACGACCATATTCATTATTTTTTCCTTCTAATTTAACTAATTAAACAACCAATGATGTCATTTTCCGATAAATAACTAATTAAATAATTATTTTTACCGATCACATCGAATTTAAACAGCCATGTAAGCAACTACCAACTAATAGTTAATGTCTAACTGCTAATAGAATAACTAACGGCTACTATAACAACTAATAGTTGCTAAAACAGCTACTATTACTGAAGAAACCCTGAATGGGTAGAAATTTCAGTTTAATGGGTCTCAGTCTTGTTGACTCGCGAAAGTTTTAACTTTTATAATTTAATTCTTCAAAATACTATCCAGTATCTTTGTACATTAAATACATGTATGCAAATTTTAAATTTTTAAATTGAAGCTTTTTAGAAATAATATTTCAAGGTACTACACAAATATCTCTAAGGGTTAAATTAGTGGTGACCACTTATCTTGAACTAAAATTGGACTGGAAATGGATTAAAAAAAAAAACTCGGATAGCTCAAGAATGTCGGTCCTGAATCGGATTGAGACCAAGGGAATTGGTTCAAGTTTTGATTTTTCCACTAAAAGTTATATGATCAAAATTGGCTCGAAATTGCCAGATGAATCATAGTTTTATTCGATCCTATCCCAAATTGAAAAAGAAAAAAAAAAACAAAAAAACTGAAATTAAAACCGACTCAGAACCGGCCGAGCCGAGACCAGAACCAAAATCTTAAGAACCAATTCAGATCCCAATTTTACTCCCTCTAGGTCCTAAACCGTTAACTTATTAAACCGGAACATTGGCTATTGAATGAAGTTGACACACTTGTTCAAATTTGGTAAGTTTGAGCTTGGTTGGCAACTAACTTCTAAACCGCCCAAACTCAAACAGACGTTGGCAGTAGCTCCAACAGAAATGGTAAAAATTCTTTTATCTAATATAGCTGCTAACAGAACCAGAGAGCTTCGCTGAGTTGTCTCCCTGTGGAAACATTTGACATTGTAATGGGAAAGTCTTATAAAATGGGCTTTCCTAACGGCTTGTCTGAAAAGGAAACCAAAACTTTGAGCGGATCTACAGCTTTTATTTTTATCACCTTCTGCTGTCTGCTCTCCTCACCCCCGCATTATCATGTACATATAGTGGCCTCTCATTTCTTTTCTTTAAGCAATTCTTTTCTGGGTTGTTAATTCTATATTGTAATTTTCTTCTATTTTTTCAGCTAGAAGAAATATGGGTTATTCAAGATTAAGCCAATGGTGTTATCTTCTAGCTTTTATGCTAATTTTGTTCAAAACAGAAGGAGGTAGCATTCCAATTGTTCTTATTGAAAATGCAAAAGCTAAAGGAGCTGGTGAGAATCTACTTTTATTATTTGCAATATTATGACCTTTTTTTTTAAAATAATTTTCTGCAAATGAAATTTCCATTGTGTTTCTGCAGTTTGCTTGGATGGAAGTGCACCCGCTTATCACTTTCAAAAGGGAGAAGGTACTGGCATTAATAATTGGATTGTTCACATGGAGGTATTCTTTCATGTCTAAAATACCTTAATTAATTTCATTTCTTTATTTCATAGTTAATTACTTCTATATTCTTTTCTTTTGATTTATTTGATTCTGACTGGCATCGAACTCACTACTTCTCACTTTTGGGAGACTCTATATCATTGAGTTAATGCTCATTAGTTCTACAATCTTTAATATAACATTTTTTTTATTTGTTTTAAGTTAAATGGATCCATAAAAATACATATAAAATAAAATTTTCTCAATTTGTTACATTAATGGAAATATGCTTAGGGAGGAGGGTGGTGTGATGATATTGAGAGCTGTCTTGCTAGAAGGAACACATACAAGGGTTCATCTTCGAAAATGAATAAGACTATGGGTTTTTCTGGCATTCTAGGAAGCAAGCAAGTTTCTAATCCTGGTATAGATTGATCCAACTAAAATATGTTTATTTGCTATTATAAACATGTTGAACTTAATTTGAATTTTTGAAATAATAGATTGGTTGTTGAATTTTGTTTGAATATATAGATTTTTACAACTGGAATAGGATCAAGATTAGGTACTGTGATGGGTCCTCGTTTACTGGTGATGTTGAAGAAGTTGATCCGGTATGATAATTGAATTTATCCTCGGATTTTCAGAGAATTTTCCTAATTTCAGAGCTTGAAACAATTTTGTACTTATGGGTAGTGATCTTTCTGGATCAGAAAACTAACCTTTACTTCAGAGGAGAAAGGGTTTGGCAGGCTGTTATTGATGAATTATTGGCTAAAGGGATGAATAATGCTCAAAATGTAGGATTTATTTTCAAGGAAAAATTTTCTTTCTTACTTCTTTTTTTTTTTTTTTGTTATTTGGTTATTTGTCTTCTTTTTTTTTTTTTTTGGTTATTTGTTCAGAACTTGTTTGTACATATAATGACAGGCTATTCTTTCTGGCTGTTCCGCTGGTGGATTGGCTGCTATTTTGCATTGCGACAAATTCAAATCTTTCCTACCTGCAACTGCTACAGTAAAATGTGTCTCTGATGCCGGTTATTTCATTCATGGGTATGTAAGCTCATTCTAAACATAGAGGGCATAATGCCTAATGTAAATGGACTTTCTATGGTTATGTATCTTCTTTATTATAATTCAACACTATGGTGTTTTTTTGCAGAAAGGATATTGCAGGAGGGTATGAAATTGAAAACTTCTTCGGTAGAATAGTTACCACACATGTATTTTTTTTTTCTATCTTTTAAGACTCTTCTTACTTTATTATAAGTTATATGATTTTTCTAATTAGTCTTTTTAAAATTCTCTTTCCTGTCTACCTAATGCTTTCGCTCAGCTGCAAATCAACGTAATGATGTTTTATGCTCTTTCTTTTGGAGAATGTTTCATTGGATTCAATTGCAATTATATATTGATTCAAATTATCACTTTGAATAGGGATCGGCAAAGAATCTACCTGCTTCATGCACTTCAAAGATGAAACCAGAGTTGGTCTGTGCTGCCATTTCTGATTTTGATATTAGTACAGTACTCTCCTTTGTTCTCACAAAATATTTTGTTTCATGATATTGTAGTGTTTCTTCCCAGAAAATGTGGCTCAGACTATGCAAACTCCACTTTTTGTCATAAACTCGGCTTACGATTTCTGGCAGGTTAGAAATTTTGGAAGGAATGATTGTCACGAGTCTTTGCTTGTCGTACAACTTTCTTTCTCCTGCTATATTAGGGGGAAAAACATAAAAGAAAGAGAAAAATTTGCAATATAATCAGTAAATTTCAATTTTCAATTTCATATTTCCTGGTATGAAACCGTGTTTTATCCTAACATGTTCATGTGCTTTATTCATCAAAACGTGCGATGTTCGTCCATTGACAAGTCTCTCCTTGCTCTTTTCTGATACTTGAATTAATTAAATTCTTCAGCTAAAGAATGTTTTGGCACCTAGTGCTGCTGATCGTAAAGGAACCTTTAAGAGCTGCAAACTTGACTTAACCAAGTGCAAACCTGCTCAACTCGAAACTGTGCAAGGTGACTATATGCTCAGCCATTTTGTTCAAGCCCCATTTTTCCCAATTCTTTCAGAACAACAGAAATTTACATAAATTTACATATATATTTGTAGATTTCAGGACGCAATTCATAAATGCATTGAATATAGGACTTGGAAACAAAACCGTAAATGGATATTTCATAGATTCTTGCTATGCACACTGCCAAACAGGATCACCACTTGTATGGTTAGCTGAAAAGTCTCCAGTACTGAATGATACGGTAACTAAAACACCGCTGATTCTCTCTACATAAATTTTCTTTTTTCTTCTTTTTAAGTTGCCATATGCTAATTTGTTTTTGGTCTGAATATATATTCTGCAGAGAATTGCAAAGGCGGTTGGGGACTGGTATTTTGACCGAGCTCCCTTCCAAAAGATCGATTGTCCTTACCCTTGCAACCCTACCTGTGTCAAGCTTGATTCTGATTCATAAGAGGATTATGCAAAATAAAAATATACCCATTTAAAGAGTCGATGTATAGGTAACTGGGGTTTGATTCATCTGTTCTTACAATTCCATTTGCTGGTATTTTCCTACATTTTTCAACATTGTAAAGTGTAAACCTAACAGTTGGTAGAAAGTCACAAATCTCGTTTCTATTTCAAGCATAAAGCGGTGCGTTTCTAGGCCTAGCCCAATGGAAAAGCATTTCCCATTTTTTTCACAGGGAAAATTATCATTTGCAGTTCTTAAATTTTAAAAAATACATTACTTAGCATCCGTGGAACAAATTGGTCTTTCCGTAAAAAATTGTACTTTTGGGTGGATAGTTATTTTGCATTCAACAGCTACCTTACAGGAGTTTGATAAAAATTTCAATCAGATATGTTTTATAGTTTTTTTTTTTTTAACTAACTGATAGTTGATTTGTATTTATATTATTTTAAATTTCATTAACCTCATAAAAAATTGCTAATGAAACTTTTTCAAATTAATATTTTTTATGCTAATTTTATTTATAATCGTTTAAAAATAAATTTTTTTTCTTAAATATCATTTAAAAATTTGAATTATATTTTTATTTATATAATAGATTAAAATAAAAAATAATATATTTACCTTATAATATAATTTACCTTTGAATTACAATAAAAAATAAATATAATATATATATATATTTTTTTTTTTGGACAGTAAATAAGATCATATTTAATATTAAATCATGAGAAATAAGAGTTTGGGCAATACACTTTGGAAAAAATAAATAAATATATATATATATTTTTTTTTTGACAGTAAATAAGATCATATTTATATTAAATCATGAGAAATAAGAGTTGCAATACATTGGGGAGTCGAGTTTTATAGATGAAAATAAGGATGTAAACATGCCACACGAGCAAGAGTGTGTGCAGGCTTGTTGACTTGCCTCCTAGCCCAAACCAATTCACAACATGGTATTTGAGAAATCAGTTGTTTAATCTCTTCGAGCACTGGTGCCCAATCTGAATAAGATTCAAAACCAGCAGTTACAGCTTGAAACAGTCGTAGGCAATCTGTTTCCATTAGAACCCTATCAATAGATCTCGTGAGCAGCCAAGACAATACTTCCCTAAGACCGATGGCCTCTGCAATGTGAGGTTTCAGCACCCCTGCAAAATGGCCCGTGCAAGCTACCAAGAATTGCCCAGTTTCGTTTCGGATAAGGCCAGCATACGATGAACGGCCTGCAGTGGTATGGATAGCTGCATCAAAGTTACATTTCACAGTTCCGGTCGGAGGGGGAGCCCATGTCGAAGCTGAAGCTAACGGTTCAGATGAATTTCTTCGATTAAGCTGCGCATTCTTCCATTCTCTAAGGAAGCTAGTGGCTGCCATGACAATGTTATAGGGATCAACGTTAATTTGTTGCCAAACCCGCCGATTTCTGTCAAACCAGATGAAATAGCACAACACATTAAAGAACGAACAATGCTCGGCACTGCGCCGATTAATAAATCCCAATAAAGTATCGGCAAAGCCAGTGGCGAATCCATCCAATGGAATCCCTGTTAAGGTCCAACACAGTCGAGCTTTCTCACAGAGGAATAGCATATGCATTGTTGTCTCAGTTTCACCACAAAAAGGGCAGTTGTCGTCCTCTATAATCCGTCTACCAAAGAGAATAGCCTTTGTTGGTAAAATATTACGACACGCCCGCCAAAGCCAGTGCTTAACCTTCGGTGGGGAATCAATTTGCCATAATTTAGCCCAAATTGGCGAAGTTACATTTGCTTCTGGCTCCACAAAGTTAGGCAGGACAAGATGATACCCTGATTTAACAAGATACTTCCCTGAACTTGAGAAATGCCATATTAGTTGATCTGCCTGGGAAGCCCGAGTGAGAGGGATGGATAGGACCTGTGACATCTCCTCTGGAAGGAACAGTTCAGCAATGAGATCCACATTCCAGCCATTAATCCTCCATAGAATTCCAACTGACATATGCTCAGAACCAGGAACAACAGGGCTATGTGGGTAAAAGTCATTATCATTTGGTAACCACGGGTCATGCCAAATGTTAACACTTGAGCCGTTACCAATTCTCCATCTGTACCCTCTTTTTAGAAATGACTTAGCTGAGACCATGCTCCTCCATATGAGACTGGGATTGTGCCTTAGGGGCGCATCCAAAAAATTCCCCTCCGGAAAATATTTTGCTTTGAGAACGGAACATAGAAGAGTATTCGGCTCAGTGACAAGTCGCCAAATCTGTTTACCAACGAGGGCAATGTTAAAAGAATATAGGTGTCTGAATCCAAGGCCGCCCATAGTCTTTCCAATGCACATTCGATCCCAACATAGCCAAGGAATTCCTTTACCATTCGATCCCTGTGTACCCCACCAAAAGGAATTCATAATTCTTTGCAGTTCTTCACAAAAGGAAGTGGGAAGGAGGAAAGTACTCATGCAGTAGGATGGGATCACTTGAACTACAGTTTTAATCATGACTTCCTTGCCCGCTTTAGAGAGGAATCTGTGGCTCCATCGAGAAATGGTCTTTCGTAGTCTATCTCGGAGAAAGGAAAAGACCGCCTTCTTATTACGGCCAACTAGGGAAGGAAGTCCTAGGTATCTGCCATGGTTTAAGGGTTGAGAGACTCGCAAAATATTGATAATCTGCTCTTTAACCGAGACATCCACATTAGGGCTGAAAAAGACCCCTGATTTCTGGAGGTTCACACCCTGTCCTGATGCTGCTTCGTACTGTCGTAAGATAGTTGCGATCGTTGTAGCTTCATTTGCCTTAGCTTTAAAGAAAAACAGGCTGTCGTCAGCAAACACGAGGTGAGACAGCCTCGGAGCTGCTCTACAAATGCGACCCCCATGAATAGACCCCACAGCCTCTGCATGCATAAATAAGGCCGAAAGCCCCTCAGAACAAAGCAAAAACAAGTACGGAGAGAGAGGGCACCCTTGTCTCAACCCGCGAGATGGAGTAATAGGACCGATAGTATTACCATTAACCAGCACATGATACCTAACCGATGTAACACACATCATAATCAGTTGAATAAACTCTGCACAGAACCCAAGTCTTATCATTATAGCTTCTAAATAAGACCATTCGACACGGTCATGTGCCTTACTGATATCAATCTTCAGAGCCGCTGTTTGTTCTTGACGCCTCCCACGGCTTTTCATGGAATGTATTGTTTCAAAAGCTAGAATGACATTGTCCGTAATTAGCCTCCCAGGGACAAAAGGGGATTGAGATGGGGAGATTATTTTCCTCAAGACTTGTTTCATCCGATTAGCTAAGACCTTTGCCACAATCTTATATAAGACATTACACAGGGAAATTGGCCTCAAATTTTTCACGAATTCAGGTTTATCAATTTTTGGGATTAGGACAATGTTGGTCTCATTCAGCAAGTTAGGAAAAGATCCATGTGCAATCCATCGCTTACAGCTAGTAGTAACATCTAAACCCACAACTGGCCAAAAATTTTGAAAGAAACACGGATTGAACCCGTCAGGGCCAGGGCTTTTATCCGGGTGCATTTGAAATACCGCCAACCGAAACTCCTCATCAAGAAAGGGGGCCATAAGTCTATCATTATCAGAGTCAGAAACCCGAGAAGTAACATGCTGAAGAACAGAGCTAGACTGAACAGGTGAGGCTGTAAATAATTTAGCAAAATATTCTAGAAATACAGTATGCATATCCCTTGGATCCTCCTTCCAGTCACCGTTCGAGTCACGAATACCTGTAAGATAGTTTAATTTTTTCCATGAAGAAGCTGAGGAGTGAAAGTACCTGGAATTTTTGTCCCCATGAGCAAGCCAAAATATTTTAGATCTCTGTTTCCAGTACTGTTCTTCTTTAAGGAGCAAGTCGCCGAGTTGCTTTTGGAGTAAAAAATATCCCTCTGAATTGTCACCACCCTGATGGACTCGATAGCCATTAAGTCGATTCTTGAGCGATTTAATGTCTGTAAGGAACCTGCTACGTAAGTCACGTCCCCAAATCCGTAGCCCATCTCTACATGCATGCAATTTACTCATCACATCACCGTGTGCTCCGTGGGCCCAATTATGTATAACAGTCTCATCAAGATTAGGCTCTCCAATCCATGTGTTTTCAAACCTGAAGCTAATTTGTCGTTTAGTCCTGTGGTTAGTGCCCAGTAGAAGCAATAAAGGGGAATGCTCCGATGTGCCACTAATTAAATTGTGAACTGAAGCATTGGGAAAAAAACAAGACCATGTATCTGAAGCTACCATTCGGTCCAACCTTTCCTCGATTCTGTTACGCCCTCTACCACACCGCCATGTAAATGGATACCCTACCATACCAAGATCGGAAACCCGACACACATCCAGCGCGTCCCGAAACCCCTCAAGGTTACGAAGCTCATAAGGGTGACCCCCTATTTTCTCATCGTCAGTAAGTAGATTATTAAAATCACCCATTAGAAGCCAAGGAAGACTGTACTGACTAGCTAGAGTTTTAAGAAGAGTCCATGTGTCTGCCTTCCGATTATGTTCAGGAAACCCATATACGCACGTCATCCGCCATGTATGTGATCCATAAGTTATGTGCATATCAATATGATTGAAAGAGTAGGAATAGAGATCAACATTCAATTTATCATTCCAAAAAACTGTTAAGCCACCACTTCTACCTTGACTGTAACATCCCTTCCCGGTCCACCCGTTAACCCGAATGAACCGAGCCGAGACGCTACAATCTGGTTGAACTTATATCCTGTTAGAGATCAACATTCAATTTAATCATTCCAAAACTGTTAAGCCAACACACTTCTACCTTGACTGTAACATCCTTCCAGGGTCCACCCGTTACAGTTGCCGAATGAACCGAAGCCCGAGACCGCTACAATCTGGTTGAACTTATATCCTGTCAATGCTGAATATCATCCTCTGTATGGCTAAATATGAATATAAAACACTCCCAATTAAACTTCAAACTTTCCAATTCTCAACTAATCATCATAACACAACAACAACTTTTATATCATATACGTCATAACTGTATAGAATCCTCAATAGCAGTTATATCCCAGCAATTAAATTGCATTCATGATCTAATCAAGTCTTCATGACCCTAATCATACGAACTATAGTCAAAATACTTAAATATTTCATATTAAATCATTTCCTC